TTTTTTTTTTTTTTTGAGACAAAGTCTCACTATGTAACTCTTGGTAGAATGCCGTGGCATCACAGCTCACAGCAACCTCAAACTTCTGGGCTTAAGCTAAGATCCTCTTGCCTCAGCCTCCCAAGTAGCTGGGACTACAGGCGCCCGCCACAATGCACAGCTGTTTTTCTGTTGCAGTTGTCATTGCTGTTGAGCAGGCCTGGGCTGGGTTTGTACCAGCCGGCCTTGGTGTATGTGGCTGGCACCATAATCACTGTGCTACGGGAGCTGAGCCTGCACAAAAGCTTTACAAACGGCCTTTTGAGGAAGAGGCGGTTGTGGATACAGCAGAAGCATGCTGTGCTTGCTTCTGCTCCTGACTCACCACTGCTGTTCACTCTCACCAAAGAACAAATTGGTTGGGAAGCCTCTGCAGCCATGGCTTTTGAAGATACTGGAAAAATACTTCTGGAGCTGGAGGTGGTGATTACAGAATTAGAACTTCCCTCATCAGCTGCAAGGTAAAGTCCCTGGAGAAGGTGTATGCTCACTTGACCAGAGGAGCAAAGGAAAGAAACTCAAAGTGAAAGGACTGGTCTGGATGCCTATGAAGATTCTGAGAATCCCAAGAAAAATTCCTTGTGGTAAAGGTTGTTAAGACTTAGATTTACTTCCAGATGAGAATCCACAACTCAATGACTGACCTGCACAGAGACTGTTAAGCTGTTACCTCTATCAGTACTGACTTACAAGTTGAGGCTGAAGTCACTACTGCAGATGCTTAATCAACTATTTTATTTTTTATTTTATATATTTTTTTCTTTTGAGACCGAGTCTCAAGCTGTTGGTTGGCCTGGGTAGAGTGCCACAGCATCAGAGCTCATAGCAACCTCCAACTTTTAGGCTCAAGTGATCCTCTTGCCTCAGTTTTTCTATTTTTAGTAGAGACAGGGCCTCGCTTTAGCTACGGCTAGTCTTGAACTCATGAGCTCAAGCAATCTACCCGCTCTGATCTCCCAGAGTGCTAGGATTACAGGCATGAGCCACTGATGCCTGGCCTAGTCAACTGTTTTAACAAACAGATTTCTAAAAGTTCTAAAAATGAGATAACATCAGGCAAATCATCATGAAGACCATCATCCTAAGGGCCAAGGGACAGAATCATCACCAATTCCAGAAATTCCTTAAAGTACTAATGCTGATTATGTAATATTTACTTTTTGGAAGATGGCTAAGTTGAGGCCAAATGCTGAAACAATTTTATAATTTGCAACATGTTATGTTATTAAAAACCAAATTTGTCCCAGAACTTGATGATGAAAACTGACTTATAGATTAAACCATTTTTAGTGCATTTAACCACTCTTTTAAATGACTTAAACATGCATTTTTTTTTTTTTTTTTGAGACAGTCTCACTATGTCACCCTCAGTAGTGGGCTATGGTGTCATAGCTTACAGCAACGTCAAACTCTTGGGCTTAAGCAACTCTCTTGCCTCAGCCTCCTGAGTAGCTGGGCCCACAGATGCCCGTCACAATATCCAGTTATTTTTTTGTTGCAGCTGTCACTGCTGTTCACCTGGCCCCGGCTGGGTTCGAATCTGCCAGCCTCCGTGTATGTGGCCAGTGCCCTACCCACTGAGCTACAGGTACTGCCCTCTTAAACATGCATCTTCAAGGTGAAAAACAACTTATCAAATCTAATAAGTGTTCTAAGTGAAACTGAAGTTACAGTAAATTCAAATTAAGGCAAACAATTTTATGCATTTCCACATGTTGGCTAAACACAGTCCTATGAAAAGCAAAAA